TGCGTAGGGACTGCTAGAGCAGGATCCTCAGCGCTGCTTGTTGTTGGGGGCTGCAGCCGCTCACGCTTCACAGCAGGCTCTGTAACGACTTCCACCGTCTTCCCAGCTGAAGGGGCCTCTGACGGAGCATCCACCATGCTGCTGGAGTTGCCAGGAATCTCCTCAACAAGCGTAGGAGTCGGAGTGGTTGGCATCACTTTCTCAGGCTATTTGGTCGCTACAGACTTACCATGTTCTCTCCCTTGAATTTGAAGAACAAACCAACAAACTAGGAGTCAGGTCATAGGAGTAGGCGTGGGCTGTAGGACAGCCTTAAGTTTTAAGGGAGTTGAATTGAATTAAACAGGTTTGTTGAAGTAAAAACATGGCTCGTCCAAGGCTTGGAGGGCAGACAATGCTTTCTCCATTTGCTGAGAAACCTCTTGATCTACAGCTTCCCTTCTGTTGAACTCATTAGGATGGTACTCCTGTAGATCAGCCAGATCACGTTCAACCTGTTTTGGACTTTGGCCCCTGGGTATGGTTCTGGCCAACATGGTTGTCAAATCCTCTTCCTCACCCCAAACCTTTGGCTTTGGCAGCTTGGGCACCTTTACCCCCGTGGCCGCTGCCGCTGCCGCTGCTTCTTGCTGTCCCCCTTGTGCACGAGCGCGACCAACTCGGACACGAAATGGTTCCATCTGGGATCAGGCGACCGGTGGTCAAAGGTCAACATCGCTGTGGAACCTCTTAAGCAAAGCAATACGTATGTTGATACTGGTACCTATTGCTGTCTTTGATTAGTATACAAGGATACAGTGTGGGCAGGAAACCAGGGGCCTCCTGGTCCTTCCAGCCCAAATAGTCATCCTCGATGACATCAAGAATCCCTTGTGGAAGTTTTTGCCTCAGACCGGTCAGCACTGATTGTGTTTCTTCAAATTGAATATATAAATATAAACATTATCATTAACATATGTCGTTTTTGTGAGGATGTGTGTGGAATCTGGAATTTCAAGTTCACAAAAAATATATGTTCACCGTTGTTGACCTGTTCTTTCAGCGGCACTTATCGAGTGATGGGTGTCAAAACATGGAGCCATACAAAGAAACCATGAAAAACATAGAAGCTCTTCAGCTCGGCTCAGCTTCTCTGGGAACACTTGTGTTGCCAACTTCAAGCCAGGAAGGTTGTCATAGCACATAAAAGTTGATGGCACCTTGAGCCAAATGTTGTTCTGTGCGACAGCCTTCTCGACAACCACGGTTGCAGGCGGCATCCACAAAACCTGAGCCAACACTTCAACTGTTCAACAGTTTGGTTTCTAAGTTCTAGATGGCCTTGGTAAAAGGTCATGAGTCATGAGCATTGGGCCAACCCTTTTACACCAGACCAGACCTGATTAGACACCCAGTAAAGCAACTGACAAGGAACATCGTTCGGGTTCAGCCAACCATGACACAAAGACCACATCTTGGAGATCTCATCATGTTCATCCGTAAGCTGCTCCAGCGCTGTGCAACATTTGACAAAGTGGTCAAAACCGCTGAGGCTCTCATCATTTTCCGAGACCAGGCTATTCACCTGAGACAATGGTAAGGTAGGTGTGAGAAAAAAACACACCAGCAGGCCAGCAGGGCCACACCGCGAGTCTCAAAGCACAAATTACAAAACTGGATTCACCCTACTCAAGTCTAGACTAGATTCACAAATGCCTAAAGCCGTCCCTGGTCACTGGTCACTGAGTCACTGTCCCATTTTTTTGCAAGACACTTCTGCCATGTCGCAAAAGACCATCACACGCGAGCCCTCAAGTTGGTACTGCACATTGGCTGTGCAACCAGGCAGGGTTCCAGTGAAGCTCTTCCCACGCTGAAACCCTTGAATGAAGATGGTTTGGAACTTTGTGATCTCTGCTTGGACACTCGCTGGCACATCTGTGTCCCCAGCCCTGCCCAGGTCACTGGTTTTGGACACCACCCGATCAACATCCAAAATTGCAGTGGGATGCGTTGGCAGAGTCTCTGCAAAGTGTTCCTCCAGCAGGAAATCCAAGCTCAGGCTTCCAATCAGATCTTGGCATGTATCTGCTAGTGGGCGAATCTTCTTGGTCTTGTTGGGATTTGTCTGGCGGCTGTTGTTGGCCCAATGCATTGTCAACTACAAAAAAGTGAGCGTTGACAATTGGCAATTGACATTGTAGAAAAGAAAGGTAGTTAGTAGTACTGTACATGTTGTTGTCAAACACTGCCAATAAAGAAATGTAAACAGGAAAATCAATATTATACACCACATCCACCTCCCAGCCCATGTCCCCCAGCCTCCATAATCTCAGCAAATTCTGCGCTAAACTGGGTTTTGTCAGCAGACACACCAATGCAAGCAGTGGTTGCATCCTTGGTTGTAGATCCATGGTGTTCCAGCGATTTCTTCAAGCATGACCGCGTACACCGCCAAATGCAGGGAACACCCAAAGCAATTGTCTCCACAAACGATTTGCCATCCCGCAGAACTGGAACAGCCCGACCAGGAAGTTTGGCGCGGAGAATTGCATGATCGCTTTCTGACAAATCACCTGCTCCCTTCCCTTTCCTTGCCTTTCCAGATCCAGTCTTTGGCTTCTCCTCGTCCTGAGGCTCATCCGGGTGAGGGCCTGCTCTCTTCTTGGCCTCGGCCGCCAGGGCCTTGGCCTCTTCAGCTTTTCTCTTCTTCGCCTCTTTATCTGCTTTCTTCTCTGCTTTCTTCTGTTCATCTTCCTTTTGTTTCTGTAGCCGACGTTCCTCCTTTTTCATGAACTCTGCTTCTTCCTTCCTTGCCTTCTCTAAGGCAGAGATCTGGGCTTGATGTTGGGCCACCGCTTGCAGAGCCGCATCAGTAATGTCCAGGAAAATCTGTAGAGCTCGCAGGTGATTGTTGCCAGAAACTCGGACCTTACGGACTCTGACTCTGACTTCCAAAAAAATCAGAGCTTCAACTTCCCCAGTGGGTGTCCTGTGAAATCACAAAACCCACAAAATTAGCCTGAGGCACAGATTCAACGGAATCAAGGTAGTCAAAGTTTGCTCTTGTACATTCCAGAAAGCCCATGGTGTGCAATTCCTCTGGAAGAATCATTTTCTCAGCAAGGTACTCATCCTGTTGCAAGAGCTCATAGACGGCAGACGCTGTCTTCTTGTTGTCTTCTTCTTGTCTCATGTCAGCAGACATCATCTCCACAAGTTGGAACCGATTCAGGATCTCTTGCAAAGCCGGCCCCAACTTTGCATACTCCTTCTTGGAGGATGAATGCAAACACACACATTCACATATAACTATGCATATACTACCTACTGGTGAGTTAAGACTTTGAGTATCCAATCGTCCACAAAAAGTTCACAATTGTCCACAATCTGTCACAGAGAAACACTAATTGTGAAACAGTCACCTCCTATCTCAGTCACCTCCTAAGCAACCATAATGTAGCCATGCACAGACATCCAAGGACATCCAAGGACATGCTATGACATGGACTGGTACCAGCACAAGTCCTATCTCATGTGTTGGCATCCGGCCACACATGCCCTGGGCCCTGGGCACACCATTTTTGTTTAACAAAAAACTCAAGAGCGTTCCTGTTTTGCCTTGCTAGGCTTTATGAGATAGGAGTTGTGGACCAAACACTGGTCAAACAGTACTTTTCTTCATGAGTTAGGACATTGATTTTTTTGGCAGTCCGACAAGTCCTAAGTCACTGGTGAGTAGTCCGTCTGTATGTTGACCACCTGGCAGCTGCCTACCTGCATACCTATATGACATTTGAATCATACTACGTGTTTGTCCCAAAACCGTTGTCGAATCAGCATTTGTGCAATGTCCAGCTTCGATTTGCTGCGGGAGAGGGTGGACTCGCTTGGAAACTGCAAGTTCTCAATCCTCTCACCCAGCACTAGTCTAATCACTGCCTCTGCGGTCTCTTTCAATTTGGATGCCCTTCGAAGTTTCTGTGTCCTGGGTTAGAGATGATGGAAGGCCGATGGAAGGCTGGAAGGCTTGCGCAAATGTTTACACGACACACGGTTGGGGCTGTTTACAAAGCAAGCCTGAGATTAAGGCCCTGTGGTTACACTTACACTGGTGCCAAGCCACATGTGAACACAGTGAAACACTTCTTCCAAAGGATATGCAGCTCGCCCTGTGCCAAGATGGTGTTTCCTCAACCGTTGTATTGATCCATCGGATAACTCTGTCACCTGGAGGGAAACTTCGAAGGGCGTCCAAACTGAAAGAGACTGCGGAGGCAGTGATCAGCCTACAGTAGTAGTGCTGGGGTAGAAGATTTGAGAACTTGCACTTACACTGCACCTTCCCTCAACAAAAGCACCGACTCCAACTCCAATGGTCCAACTGTCCCTTATCCAACTTCTATTTTTACATTCAAATTTCCAATTTGGTCAAATAAACCACACCTCTTTGCAAGCTTGGGAGAGCAAACTCATCCCCTCTGTAAACGATGCCACTGTTTCTGAGCATCCATGTGAGAAGATGCAACCACTCACTGCCAAGAAGCACTCGTGAGCAGCTCGGATAGCATCGAACAGTGACTGCGACTGCTGCATCAGCTCAAGGGCACCGCGAAGCGCAGCTGACACATGTAGTAGACCAAATGAAGTTCTAAAGTGACTGACTGACTGCGTGTGGTCTACTTTTGTGCGCCCAATCCAGAATCCAAACCATGCGGTTCGAGACCTATGGGATGATTATGTCAAGTGGTGTTCATCCTGCCATGGCATCGTTTTACATGTTGCCAAGTTTGCCAAGGATCTTAGAATCTTATGTTTTCTTGTATGGGGTCCGGGTCCTGATCCTGCAAGTTGTATTGTTGCCGGGTCCCCGCTCTGGCCACCCCAGAATTTCCGGAGTCCGAGCCCCCGTGCCAACAGAAAGTCCCGAGCGAGTGTTCCGAGTTCCGAGTCCGAGTCCCAAGTCCCAAGCGCCACGTGGAGCGAGCGGAGAAGGCTCAGAAGTCCATTTCAGGGAAACCCACGGTAGATTTACAGTGTGTAGACTATCCAACTATGTGTTTGAGGGCCATCAACTAGCTGCTCAGATCTTAAATTTTTTGTTCTGAAACTCAGATTCTAGCATTGTTTTGTGACTTGAAAAGCCTTAATTACAGCCCTTCCCTTTGATTTGGGTCTCTTATGAATCTGAGCAGAACTCCCTCACCGGTGCTCCGGGCAGTTGTGTGTCCATCATGCTCTCCAAAAAGACCCCCGAAACACCAGATTCCTTAATCACAGGGTCGCTGCTAAAACGCAGGGTCCTGTGCAAGTCCACACCCAGTGGCTCCTGCCGTAATGTAGACTCTTGCTTTCAACAATCGAGGTTTACAATCCAAATGAGGCGATTATATAATATATATATACATATACTGAACAGTAAATTAGCCTTTGTGACTCCTGGCGCTTCTATTTCCGTGGCCGTTTTTGCCCAATACGATCACGGTCACTTACAATTTACAAAACAGTAATCATTATACAAGTAACTGTATCATACTGTACCTGTTTATCTCTATTCCTCCCAAGTTCCTGGATACATGTCATACCACGACCCCACCCCCAACCCCCAGAAAGATCCCATAGGCCTGCACCCCGCAGGAAACTCCATGATTTCAACGCGGCTCAGTTGGGAGAACTGGCTCCTTGGTAGCCGAATTGTGCCGCAAACACAGGGACCACAGGGACCAAACATCAGTAGGATTCAACTCATTCAACCAAACATCAGGGGGGCCAACCCATGACTCCAAAAGGTTTGACCGTTCCCCTTGTCTTCGGTCTTATCATGCATTTGTTTGTTCATCCATGTTTTAATCAAGCTTTGGCGGCACAGCTGCGTCAAGGTCTACGCCTATGCTCGGCTCAAGCTGCGTCACCAGCTGCTTCTGGATGTGCTGAAGAAGAGGATGATCGAGGCCGAACAACGCGTCACCAGTGGATCGCCATTGAGAGACCTGACAAGATACCGAGGAGATGGAAATGGTTTCAAGATTATCATATTAAGATGATGCAAGATGCAATTTGTCCATTAATTTTTTTTCAACCCATCAGATATGAAGGTATCAATATATTTGTGTTTGATCCCTGTTTGGGTTGATGGACCTGGGGGGTTCATCATCCAGTTGCTGTTCCCCCTTCGGTTCTGGATTTGGTGCCCTTAGCAGTCAACATTAGAAGGGTCGATAGCTGTCCAGGTTCTTCGAAGAAACCAAGCCATGCAGGTCATCCGTGCAATGCGGCCTTGGCATTTGGCACTCATCGCCAATGGCTTTGCTCGCCTCAACACGAGCCGCCTGGATGTCTTTCATCCGAGGGTTGGCATTGCGGAGCAGCGGCAGCTGCATGGCATTCCGGAGAATGTTTCACTGTGTTTCACTAACCACGGAGATAAACATCCGTCAGCCGTTTTCTCCAAGGTGGTTGCAATTGTCAATCACAAGCTAATTATTTATCTTTTTGTTCGCTTTGGCTTTTGCTATCTCTCTCTCTCTATCTCTCTCTTTGTTTGCCTCCTTGTTCCCCCATATCGAACATTGGATCAATAGATGTTGTGCCTGAATGTGCCTGACCCGTTTGCGGTGGCTGTGCTGTTGGCTAAAGAAATTTCTACATTGATTGACATCACTGATTGCAGAAGCTTATGGTTGTCCCCGCCAACATTGTCACCGCAAGCTGCAAGAGGACGCCCCCTGTATTATAGTTATAATGTATATATACTATATAATTGTGCTCCCATGGGCACGACTCGACCCTGAACAATTACGATGCACGAGGAACTAATATCCAGGGGAGGAACCGGCTCCACAACTAGAGAGGGACCTCGGTTGGAAATCAATGAATATAGATTAACGATGATATACTATGATTGACTACAAAAGATATCCGGGTTTGGTTGAATGACTCTCTCCGCAGATTCTCTCCAGTTTCTTTGTGCCAAAACCGCTCGTGCAAGGCGACGAGCGTTTTTTTGCCATCTTGGCCTCGGAGATCTGTCGAAAGATTGGAGAATTCGAGGGAAAGTCGTGTCTCGGCAGCCGGAAAACTCGGGAAAGCCGGGAGCGGCAGAGGCAGCCGGGAGCCGAAATCATCCAGAGGGATTTCCACAGCAGTACTTCCATACTGGTTGATGCATAGATGCGAAATTGGTTGCCAACACATGCCAACACATGTTTGTTTTTCAAAGGGATTCGACTTTCTACTTGTTTGGCACACTATTATGCTTGTCTTGGAGTTCAAGCACTTTGCCATGCAGAACTCCGAAAACGGTAGATCAGGACAACCCCCCAGAGGAGCTCCCAGTGGCTCAACTTGGGTGATTTCTGCACCAAGTGTACAGATAGACAAGGGATATATGAAGCTAGTATCCAAATTGCCCAATGGGCCAGTGGAGTCTTGTAAGTTGTTTCCATCCACCTGGAAACACCAAGGAATTGGCAAGAAACACTCCTCGACCCATCGAGTTTGGATCAAATCTCCTGAGCATACAAGCACTTAAGCTTTAAGTGGTGCACTTATAAGTATAATGCAGCAAGTTACAGCACGCAATGTAGACACATCAATGTTATGAACAAACATGAAGAACGGCTTGGTGTTGGTGCCCCAAATGGGTGGTCACTCCGACAAGTTTCTTGAAACCGACAAGGAGCGGCTACTGGATACACACAGTGTATCACAGTGTTTTTGTGGTTTGAACTTTTCGCTGATAGGCGTAGCAAACCCTAACGCCTTGAAGTTTGTTGTTGTCGCCAACTTTTTACCAACACAGGGTGCTTCGATGTGGAAATGTGAGCCATGCAGATGGTTTCGTTCGGACTGATGTCCCCTCAAAACTATCGGAGGGCCTATGTTGGTCTTTTCGAGAGAGCTGCTCTCGTTGTGCCTTTGTTCGGAGGTTGGCATTAGTGGCCAATGCCTATGCCAGACTTGGTGTCCGCAATCGCCTCTTGGCATGCGAGAACGCGTGAGCAGTGTTATCCTCTTGAGGTGTGGCCCGTCATGTTTTGTGAGTTTCCGGCCAGCGAGATCATGCGAAACTAACATAGAAGGCACGATACCAGAGATGATCAACCTACCAGGGTTGTCCACCCATGTTCTCCTCTTCTGACAAACGTCTGAGGCTTCTTGCTGGAACTCTTGGGAGATGAGGCCTTCCGCCGACGTGGTGAGTTGGAGCCGCAGGCGATCGCGCTGCTGCTGAATGCACATGCGAGGCTGCAGATGTCCAATCCCCTGCTCTTTGAGCTTCGGATGGCAGGTTCACCCAAGGGTATTTTCACCTGTGGAACTTTTTTCGGACAGAAGAGGACAGTAGGTAGTCTTCCAAGGGACCCTCTAACGCGTTGACGCTGTTGGAATGCAGGGTAGATTCATTTGAGATTCACCGGCAGCTGATACTGCCTGGAGGCTTGTTAGTCACTGGGATTTTTGTGGGGGGTCCACCTGAAGCATGTTCAAAGTGGATAGAATGGAAATGATGGAAAGGGGCTCCGGCATTTCGTTTGCAGCGGGTGGCCCACCTCTTCAGATCCAAGGACTATTTTGCACAAGACATCCCGCGACGCATCCGTGGGCATAATCTTCATTCCTTGTGCTTGATTTCCAGCGCGTTTGCCAAAGCACGGAAGAGCGATGAGGCGCTTTTTGAAGCTTTGGCCTCCGTTGGTTGGGGAGAGTCCGCTTGCGCGTGGGGAATGATTTGCAGAGTTTATTTTCTACAGTGACGTTGTGCATATATCACTGCAGAGTTTGATTCCATAGTGACTGATTATGTAGCAATGTAAGTGTTTTGACATCGTTATATATCGTGATATGTGTTCAATATTTATTTGATATTTGTCAGTTGCTGGTGCTCGTTATGCTATATTGAAGCAGTAGCATTTGAGGCACTTTGAACGCTTTACATTGGGTCCTTCAAGTGTGCATTAAAGATGTCGTAAGCTCAATTGAGGTGTTGGTGTTCTCAATATCGCAGGTGTTGAATCCCAGCGACCTTTGAACGTCGTTTGCGAATTTGACGCAGCTTAAAAGTGCTTGAAACCCAAACTGATAGCATGAATTGGGTCAGTGATTTTCCCCACCTCCTTGACGTCCAAGGCCAAGATTGGGGACTACGTTTGTAGCCACGCCTCGGAGCCTCTCACTTGGGCATGTCAGACCGGAGAGACAACAGCGGAGTATAACATAATAATTGATGTCAGTAGAGGTGCAAGCAAACAAGCACCGAGGTGCAAGAATCAAAGGATCGCACGGCTAGCTTCGGATTTTTCCAAGCACACTAGGCCCAGGCCGGAGTTGTACTATTGAGCGCCTGGTTGCTGCATGCGCTCCAGCCTCCTAAGGAGGCACCCAGGGTGCATATTCGATTGACGGATTCATATTGATAGATATAATATCGAGACATCAGACATATTCCATACATATTCCATATTTCATAATCATAGATTCGATGGACGGATATGGGAACGCCCACGGCCGGTCCTCGCCCAGGTTGTATCCACGGGCTTTGGCCTCGTTCCTTTTCTCCTTCTCGGAGGTGGACATTCGGCATGGCGTCTCGAATCGAAATCCGGCAATGGAAAGCGTCAATAAACCAGAGAAATGTGCTCAAACTATTTAAACATTGTTTGCTTTTTGCTCGAGGCGTGCTTTTCTACAACGCCCCGGACCACGTGACAGAGAACATCAAGGCCTACACCACAGATGAGCTTTGCATGGTGGCCTGGTACAGGAAATTGACCAAATGACTTTGGGCCACCACATCATTGTGCTTCATTCGACGTTCTTTTTGTACCTTCGTGATCCTTCGTGTTTTTTTTGGTTTAGTTTAGGGGGGAGGAGCCCTGACACTTTTCTGGTGATTCCGGCTACTAGTGGTGGCCTTTGAAGGCGTTTGGCCAATCACGGGCCCTCTTGAGTTGATTTGTTAGTTTCTTTAGGAATCTCTGGGATTTCATAAACTTTCAACCACATCGCATCATCAGCATAGTGTGAAATGCAGCCCAAAAAGTTCCGGGTTTTGTGGGGTGGGTTCAAGCAATCTAGACCTCTCTTATAACATACTGCTCGAGAGATTGTGAAATGATTCAAGGATTTCAGAACAGAACCCGCTTGCCCAACCCAGCTGCACTGAGAAGTGCCTGGGACACTGACAAGGTTTGGCAACGGCTCAGAATGTAGCATACCATCTGCTCAAGGTAAAAGCAAACAACTGTGGGTCCCTCTGCTTTTTCAGACACATCGCATGCAATTCCCACCAAGAATGTTTATTGTTAGAGATCCATTTGTTTCCCGATGGCCCGTCCCTATAGACATGGCAACGTTTGGGTCAGACATGGCAGATGGTCAGACAGATGGGTAACTTGGACATACACCCTGGAAGACTAAGATAGACCCTGAAAACCACTGGTTGGTAGAGGCAAACACTCTTCCAGGGGGCCAGACAGTCAGGGTCTATGGTTAGTTTTCGGGAGTGTACATGGATTGTTTGGGGTCCACGCGGTCGACCTTCACAGACATTGTCGACCTTCACATGCGAAGCACTGAAGGTCTGAAGAGCCAGAGGGGTTATGGTGTTGTGCGCGTTTCCTTTACAATTGGTTTGCTCTCAAAGGCAGGCGCCGCAGTGGAGATGACCCAAGGATGGGCCACTGCAAATATGAACAGTTTCAGGATCGGTCAGGGAGGATTTGCAGAATCGGTCAGTTTTCTTCTACAACACCACTTGGCCACCGGTCTATCCCCACCAGGTTGCTACACCTCCCACCCGTCCAGCCGCGGGGTCAAGGCGCGTCTGGAGCTCCAGTCTGCCGTCCAGCGTCAGACCCGCGCGCACGGCGTCGGACGCATCTCAGGTCGGACGGGCCTATGGGCATTTCCAAATGGTTCACACGCTGCTCTTCGACTCCATCAGCACCGCTTTGCCAAGCCATGTGCTGGCGGAGGCTGGCCAGCTGGGGACGGAAATGGTCCCAGGACCACCATATCATGCGGATGGTGGATGAGGAAAAAGGTGCCATATGTTTTATACATACTGTACATACGTACGTATTATAGTATTTTGTGTGTGTGTGTGCGTATGAAATGTTTGACAATCCAGGTAACCAGGTAGGGGGGTTCATAAAGCAGCAGTGAACATTGTTCGCTCTGGGGGGAGAGAGTGTCCCTTGAGTAGCACGGTGCCGACAGCATATGGCTTGTGATGACCTTGGTGTGTATGTTGTGCTTTCCAGGTGTTACCTGGGTGAATGCAACGGTACAACCTAGCAGGAGCTGCAGCTACACAGGACCTTTCAACTCGGCACCCGCATCGCTCTTGTCGTTTTTGCAATGGAAGTTATGAACGCTCGTTCTAGTTGATTCTACTGGCCATTGAATCTTTGGTGTTTTGTTCTCATACCTCGACCCCCGACAACTGTGCAAAGCAGATAGACAAAGCTTCCAGAACATGAGATGGGGAACCACAGATATGGTTTTCAGATGGCACGCTTTTCTTAAAGCAAATGCCAATCTATCAGCAGTGACGAGTGACAGGTATAGGACCTAGGACATATCAAAGAATTCATGGGTGGCATGCTGTTGATAGAAGAATGGGTCTCCCTTTGCAAAGAGGCAGTGTTCTACTTCAATGTGTGCTGAACAAGATCAATTCCCTTGAACAAGTGCGCGCAAAGTGCATGTGTCCATTGGGTCTTGGTCCATGCAAGTGCTTGCTAGTTTTTCAGATGCATGTAGCATAATTATCATTCCACATGCATGGAGTTTGAACGTCAATGCTGCCTTTGCATGTCGCAGGTCGAAGAACGACAAGCGTTGCTGGCAGATGCAGAGGAGGAGCAATGCAGCCATGTTCCGCATTCAGCAATTAGTCTAGACACCCTGAACCAGCATGGGATGCAGTTCCAAAAGCAATTTCCTACGGCAAAAGGTTCATATATGCTCACCGATTCTCATACGCTGTAGCAATTGTCAGAAATGGATTGAAAGACCTCCGCTGCACGCCGTTTTTGCAACTGTGTCAATTTCGACATAGTTGCGGATTCCGAGCACCGGGAAATTTTAGATGTCCGATGTCTGAATTGAATTCAACATACCCCAGCCCACACGGTGCTAGGAGGAATCCAGCAATCTTCGGATTTTAATCGAAGCAATGCTGGGCCAACTTCAAACGAGAGTTGAATGAGGTTGCAGCAGCCCTTGCTCAAGATTACTGAGCCCAGCTGTTTTGTTGCCATCCATATATATATATAACCATAATTAATATAGTATTACTACTGTATAACTTTGTGGCTGCTATTATACTATTTGGACTGAATTTGGGGACCAGGAGCCCCCTCAAGATAGTAATCAAACAGAGGAACACGCGGGAACAGAAGAGCTTAAGAATATAAACCCAATTAGGTGGACCCCCCCTCTCGGGGAACAGTTGCTGATCCCTGTCACACCCGCCGATCGGGTAGGGGCGGTTTGGGCAGGGCGGCCATACACTTGTCCTGCCGGACTCCTTAAGCCCACCAATTGATTACTGTACAGTACTACGGGAGATACAATTAGAAGTACACAAATGGTATCGGTGTTCAACTCAGTGGTGGTTGAACCGTGTCATGATTTGTAGCCCATCACAACGTCATCAAAACATCAACTGAGCAACATGTCGGAACCCTCGAATTCTGCCCTTTGTTCATGTGACCTTAGGAGGGCAGAGGCACCAAGCCCATTCACAGGAGCTCGACGATGAGGACACCACGCCAAGCTCGCCCCTCCCCAAGATCTCCTCATTGATTGGACTCTTGGAGGTGCTGGACACCGCGCGCGGCCGAGCTGGGGTGGGCCGGGCTGAGGAGACCGAAGATTCTGGGCTTCAGGGGGTAAGCTCTATGCTCTATGGCCCCGCACCCGGGTCCCAGCGTTGCTTTAGCAATCTATGTGAATCCCTGATGATAAGAGGTACTTTCACTTTTTGGCCAACAGTATCAGTCATCGCTTTTCAGGCAGTTCCGGACAGACGGACATCCCTCAGTTTGACGTGCTGTGAAAATCTGTGGAAGGCGGTCCAGGTTCAGGATGGTCACATATCACGGCAAAACTGCCCAAAGTGACACACCAAACAGCAGGCTATGTAGCTTAAGGATGTTTGATCATCAAATCACTGAAAGGTCCTGTTCGTGACTCCGTGGCTACAGCAATTGCATGTTCGTCTCAAATCAGGGGACGTCCCCCAGGACTTCCCCGGAATCAAGAGCACAAAAGCACCCGGAAAGTTGGTGTTCAACCGTCAAAAACAACTCGTCAATCACTGCTCATTGGAGTTTGATTTGCGTCAGGCCTACGCACGGCTGTTGATTTATCACCCTGGCACACTGGAACTGCTTTGCGATGCCATCGCTGCCAGGGAATCCTAGAAGCAATCAGAAAAAACTGAACAAGTCACAGCAAGTCACCCAGGACAAGTCTCAGGGCTTGCCACTCTCTTCGGGTCTTGAGTGAAAACTGGACATGTCACATTTTGCAAAAGACCCACCCGCATTCTGAGACCCACATAGACCCTCTCAGTTCCATGCGACCGATTGAAAGTTCTGAAGACTCAGGAGTAATTATGACTATATTACTTATTTGCCTTGGGGTCCCATACGGCCTGCCAATGTGTGCAACATGTTTGCCTGTTCCATCAACAAACCTTTGCGTCAGCTCATGGAATTGTGATTAGCTTTGGCCAATGCTTCAGAAAGATCCGAGTGGCCCCTTCTTCTTTGGCCACTGAATGCCTTCACAAAAGAGCTAGCTCCAAGGTAGGTTAAAGAACTGCTGTACGTACTCCAAACTGTTTGAGGTAGCATGCTGAGATACTGCCTCAATTGCCATCGGCACCAAGCAGTTCTCAACATGGTCAGGCATACGAACATGGGCCGCTCATTCATCAGGCCCAAATTCACCTGGACCTAGCGCATGTCCAACTAATTGCAACGTAAGTTCACACCAATGTTGCGGTTGGGCTAAGGCGAAGACTTCGCACTTGGCCCATGGTGGTCAAAGGCCTTAACTTAGTCACTCAGTCCCTTGGGTTAACCTAGCCTTGTTCCTTTCGGAAGGTCCTAAGTGTTGAAACAACAAACAGCACCAACAGTTGCAGACACAAATGCTGGTACTGCTTCGACCACCCAGAAGCAACAATAACGGTAAGTATTCAAGCACCAACCGGAAGGCGCAGGAGGAACAAGGAGCAGCAGGGCGCCAGAAAAACAATTCTCCTGCTCTTTGGATATTAACTACCGTACTACTACCGCTGTTGCTCCTGCTTGTGCCACAGCAGTATCAAGGCCGGTTCGGCCCATACACCTGGATAATGCTTTTTGAAAACGACGCCAGCAATACCAAGGAACCAGAGCTGGTCCCTGCTTTGGTGGTGAAGGCTGGGTTTCGATGGGGTTGGGTGTGGTGTTTCCTAAGGAGTTCATGGAAGAAAGACACTGGCACCACGAAGCTTTGGTGTTTCATTCTCCCGGGTGACCGGAAACCATCCGCTGTTCAAAGCGAGCCGAGAGGTTGCACGAGCTTGCGCGGCACTGTCCTTCGCACATTCCGGAGTGCTCAGGCGAGCATGGGGACTTATGTTGGGCAGGCAGGTTCTTACAGCGCTAAGGCTTGGAGTATGCTACTCAGCTGCTTGGAACAAGTCAGCTTTTGTAACACTCGGTGCATGGATCTCTATAGAGAGAGGGTACCCTGGATGAAGAATAGGCCAAATTCTGAACATGGTACTTGTAGAGTGGTCATTTTCAAACAGGTCATCCTGGGTCGAATAAAAAATCATTTGGAATGCAATTTGAATATAGAGAAGCTGATTTGGAGCGGCTTGAACATACTGGTGACATCACAAATTTGTATAGGTAAAAACACCCAAAAAAAACAACGATCGTATTGAGTGAATCAGAACGTCAGGCGCCGGTGCCGATGTCGATCGTCTTCTTCCTTTTTTTTTTGAATTGATGGTCCTAGTCTCTTTTTGGTTTGATATTTCTGCAATTCAGTTGGATGATCATGTCATAGAAATATGCAACATATTTTATTTGGTCATGTCATAGAGCTAGAATTATTTGTGTGTTGCTCAAGGTTGGGCACCTCAATTTTGGAAGTTAATGTACGTGGCGTGGCATGTTATAATGCGGAGGTTGAACATTTTAGAACCTGCTTCGTAAAACCCTCCAAAACTCTAATCATCAGGTTAGCGTATACATATGTATACACATAATGTATGTAGCAGTTTGTTCATAAAGGGGCTTACAGTTTTACAGTCGCAACAATATTTGCATTGCATGTTTCTTGTTTCCTTTTTCATTGAAACACCCCAGACTCAGTTGTTTGTTTTCTGGGTGACCTCAGTCATCTTTCTGTCCTTCGATGCCCTGCATGACAATTCACCATTGACTTCCCTTGACTCTTTTTTAAACCACCCGGTGGATGTCAATGTACCAAAGCATGTCAGAAAGAACGGTTGTTTGTCGAACAATCTTTTTTCAATCCAACCCAAAGATGTCACAACAAATGAATCATAGTTTGCATTGGATGAACGAACCGCTTAAGTTCTTGACCAGGCTGGCCACTCAGTGCATGGCGGACCAAGGCCAACACTTGCTAGAAGAGGCTGGAGCATGGCAAAGCAAACAGATTTGGATGTGTGGGCTAGTGCCAGGTTGAAACAATGGGCCGAAGTCGGTGGCTTTTGAAGCAATCGACCTTTCCAACTGGTGTCGAACGCCAGGACTTTGACTTGTTGAGCGCCGCGCTGGAGGATTTGGGCGTCCTCAGCCAGGACAGCCGCCTCATGCTGGCAACCTGGCAAACGTGCGTGGAGAGCAGTTGCGATGTGACGAAAACCAACGGTCAAAGCGCGTAGATGGTAGGGGGGAGAAAATCATGGCGGGGATTTGTCTTCAGAATTTCCTGTAACTTTCAGGGATGTACACTTGCGTGGGGGTGGAGGGCATATCCATCGCGGTGGTAAGGGAGCAACCGTGAGGGTTGGAGACATTGCCAAATTCTAAGAATGAGATTACCGAAAATGGGTTGAGTTTTATCATGCAGTCAATAAAGGCTTTTCAAACACTTGTCCACGTGACAGTGGCAACGCAGGGGAATCCAAGATGAATGAGGAGTAGGACCTGGCTTCGCAGTCGCCCCAAGACCCTACCTTCACTCCATTGTTTTTCCTGGATCATAGAGCCTATGTGGCAAGGTGGGTGGACAATGCCACAAAGATCACAAAGTCTCGAGTTGTGCCACATTTGCCCATCAGCAATCGACACATGATGAACATGAACAGATTCATTGTTGAATTCGACCTGCGCACATCAGCTTGGACTTGGAAGCATCATTTTCTGATAGTAGTGGACCGCCCCCCCGGAACGCTCCTCAACAGACTATCTTGGGAACTGCTTTCACCTGACACGGTGTGAAAAGGTTTCAATGTCTATGCAGGAATGTCCTCTCCCCTTCGGCTGCACCCAGAGCGGGCTTTGCAGAACGATGTTGAACGGATTGCTTTGGGAGATCCCCCCGCTGCAACAGTCACAAAAAACATGTAGCAAGAAAAAGCTGCATTCATTGTATGTATATTGTTTGGGTCGGGTAGGCATCATCACCCACACAAAGCCACTTGGGGGGCAGGGTCTAGGTCATTGGAAGTCCGCTAAGGAGCACTCCGCCTCAGTCAGCGAGGGGGACGAAAAAAAGCGGCGGGCTGGGCGCTCGACCTGTTGGGCGAGATCGGATAGGAGACCCACCAGAAAAATCCAGAAAATATCACCGATACAGTAGAATACACATACTTCATCCTGACGCGGCCAACCTCAACTCCTTACTTTTGTAAAGATGTTTTCTGCGGAATTGTAGGGATCACCAGTCCTTTAGCATGTAGCAAGACACGGCCGTTCAATTGACACCCTAATTCAGCTCTCCCTTGGAAATATGGGATCTAGTCAATCTAGTCGGTTTTGGACCGTTCAGGATGGCGGCTCTGCCATGGTCGCGCAGCTGGTCCGGACGCCAGCGTTTTTTTTGTCCCAGCGCCCCCAGTGGGTGTGATTCAAGTCCAAGGGAAGGAGGTGTGTAACTTTTTGGTCGGATGTGATGCCCCCACTGATGCCATGGATTGGGGATCATTTCGGAGTACCTGCGTCATTTGAGAATTGAAGACATTCAGGTGTAGAGTGGGGACATGTAGGTTCTCATGATGGTTGTGGTGTTGCATGTCCTTTTTGCGTGCACGTTGCGTACATGGTTTTTCTTGGCTCAAGTGCTAGCGTTGGGGACGGGCAATTCTGCCCAAGGAAGCTTCTTAGATAGGGGACCCTTTGCAGAAGCACAAGCCAATGTTCCTCCAGCTCAACTTCCCCCTTTCACCAATCCCCCAAGCCACGCCCTGCGGAGAAGACAAGCTTCTCCGTGCCTAGCCTCCTGTCGCCGCTATGGGTGCATCGTGTGGCCGCTTTGTTCAAGCTTACAAACACCTGCGACGGACCAAGATCCGGGCGTCCACCCACTTCGGCAAGCGGCCCGAAGAGCTGTTGCTCGTAGCAAGAACGGGACAGCCGACCGTGGAGCGAAAAACAACAGGGATAGGAATTCTATGGAATTCTATGGGATGGGTTAAAGAGTGAGCAGTGAAGTCCTTGCTTGGGGAAAGACTCGTGCGTTGGTTTTGGTCAGCTTGTCCAAACTTGGTGTTTTAACTATTTCTTCAGACATGAGGTGACAGCTCCCAAGTGAGAGGTGGCAGGGGGTCGGCTGATTTCCCTTGGCACCCTGGGAGTGGCACCCTGGGAGTAGCACCATGCATTTGGCTTTCGAATCAGTGATTGCAGATGTTTGAAGTCACAATTCTGCACTCTGGGCTTTTCTTTTCTCCGCCCTGGAGTCCCGCTTACCTTCCTCTGAAGCGGCGGTTTTTCACATTTTTGCTCAGGTGGGGAAAGCAAGACAAGGTGGAGTTGCGGGTCTTCGCGGGGACTTGGAACCTTGGGAATGCTGCACCTCCCAATGATCTGCGAGTGCCTTGGATGAGGAGTAATAATGACAGGAATGCACGGGGGGGCAATTTTACAGGTGAATGGGGGCCACTGAAGAAATCTATTTGTACCAAAGTGAGGGGATTCGACAAACCAACTGTACAGGGAATGAGGTGAACATAGACTCATAGACTGCAACTCAGGTTTGTTCCTCATGCGTTCTGAGGTGGATTACGGATTATATATGATAGTTCCCAACAGAGGTCCCTACTAAATAATCGTTCATAATCCAACAATCATCCTGTTCTTGTGATGGCTAAGCCCCGCCGATCGCGACAGGGGAGAGAGAGAGAGAGAGAATGAAAGAAGCATTGTTTTTTGCACCAGTTGACTGGAAGGCATTCTTCGCACGAACCAAGCCATGTCCATGTTGGTTTGATTGTAGCTTTTGTTTACTTAAAGAGTCAGCACATGTGCACGTAACTGCAATCAATCGCGCTTGTTAGTTTTATATGCAACCATGCAACTAGAGACCATGTCCCATTGGGCATGCATGGTGGCTGCTTGAATTAATAGTGTGGTGTTTGAGCCAATTAGGGACGTAGGTCGTGGACATGTGTGCATGAGTTTTGTTAAGCGAGAGGAAGCAATCTTGTGTGGTCATTGAAGCCTCCTGAACGTTTGGGATTTCCATAACTAAGACTTTTGCCCCCCAGAGAACATGAACATGTCAAACCCTGAGACTTTTGGACTTTTGTATGATGCGGAAGTTTCAAGCTTTAAGGGAATGTCGGGGACTTGTCAGACAAGCTTTAAATTGTTTATCGATGTTGTCCCTTTTTCATGTCACAGCGCAGCACGCAGCTCAGCTCGAGGACTGGCTGCCTGCTGGGTGTGACCTCTACTTGGTGGGCGTTGAGGAGTGTCACTACACCCCTCGACCCAGTCACAGCACCGTGGAGATGTGGCGCACGAAGTACGGCGGGAAATGGGGCACATGAAGTGCAGATGGTTCACGTATTGACGAGGGCTTTAGCTTATTAGGTGAAAAATAGACCATCAGACCTTAACCATTGCAACGAAACTGCACAACCTCCTTTCTAAATAGGCAAATCATAGTGTTCCACTTATTGGGGAGAGCAATCTCGCTGCAAAACAAGCTAAAGCACTTGATCCTGTTCTCGGTGATCACGTGACCCGTCAGAATGGGGGATTGGTATGGATTGGTGATGCTCCATGTTTGTTTTTGACAAAACGTCGTTAAAGGGATGCATTCGCCGGCTCTCATTCCTAAAAGGGTCATTTCTAAAAGAGTCGACGGCAGTGGAATGGTCAAATCTAGGACCTTTGAGGTAGAGCAACCAACTGCATCAAAGCAACTGTGCCAGGCTGTGCCCAGTGCCGCCCATGTTCCACTTTGATAGAGCATTGGAGCGAGTTGGAGTGTGAATCTCGAAATGGCATCATGTAGCACCATTGACCCCACACGTATAATGTAGCCATTGTATTCAATGTCTTTGTTCCTTTCCTTTCAGCTGTTTTGCATCGCTGTAGCTGTTGACAACGCATGAAACAAGATGCGTTGCAGAATCTCTGCGTCGCCGGATCATGAGGCACATGCCTGGAGGACTGGTGTGACTTGGTGCAGGCCTCATTGCCATCGCTGCTGACCATTTGCCGCCATGACATGGGCCATTGTGACTTGGTTTCAAGACGCGGTGGGAGACCGTTTTGGTTCCTTCGCGGACCTGTGTTGTCTAACAGGTGAACAACCATGATTGGGCTCCACGGACACCTGAAACATCACCCAAACACCTTCTCCGGATGGCTCTGATTCGATGGTACCCATGTCTTCGCCTGGAAGGATTGAACTGTTGAGGTCAGATTCTGTTCTTAGCCACTGAGCTGGTGAGCAAATCCATTCACTCCGTGGTGGCCAGTCACGAAGAGACCGGCCTCGGCGGCTTTTATTCCAACAAAGGACCGGAGTCGTCCCGGTCGACCCAAGGACGGGGGTGGCGCTCCACTGAGGGTAGCATGAGGGTAGCATGTCAGAGTTCGGAAGGGCCAAAGTGTTCACGGTCAGTCTGAGATGGCGGACCACTGTTTTGTGGAAACCGGACATTGGAGAGCGACGAGCCGGGACACTGATCTATATGAGTATCGCCAATGCCACCCTCCAAAAAGAAGACAAACACCTGGGACAATTGCACACCAGTGGTTGTAGACCCATCCAGTGAGTGGATTATAGGCTTTCCTGGATGTCCATGCAGAGCGTTACCGGTCCCGATCGCCCAATGCGGCAGATCTTCCTCCCCAGCCAGGAGGTTTAGCGCTCTCCTTTTGGATCGGGGACCAGGCCTTGTGCTTCGTCTCCTCACACTTGGCCGCCCATCAAGCCAACGTCGTTCAACGGAACTTGGACTCGGCGCACATTATCGAAGGGATTTGTTTGACCACTGACTCGCAGATGCCACTCACCAACCAGCACCTTGGAGCGTTCAGATTGGTCTAAGGCCTAAGGGAGTGAGCATTATGAGACAGAACTGGAAGGCCTGGATACCATGGGAGGTCTTTTGCACCTACGCCTACAGTAGTAGGCCCTAGGCATTGACAGCGGAGGTTCTTCCAACGTATGGGCTTGCAGATGCTCGCTTTTTGAGCTGCTTTTCCTTGACGAAAGCCGTCAGGTGATTGGTGTTGGAAGTTGAGAAACATGAATGTGAGTCCAGTCAAAGATCTCCAGAACCATCCACCACCCTGCTCTCAAGCTACCAATCCCACTCATTGGACCCAGCATGGTGAGATCAGAATTTGGCCGGTTGCTGCCACCTCCCGCAGGATGAATGCTATGATGGTAGGTCGGGGCAAGCAAACAGAAAAGCCACGATTCTGGGGGCATCCACATCTTCCAAATCCGATTAAGCTGGGAGCCGCTTCAAGGCCTAGCTGCTATATACGGTAGCTGCTTTGTTTGAAGGCAGGGTGTACGGCCACCGAACCATGTGATTTCGACCACCGAGGTTTCACCATGTGATCTGGGTGGGCCACTGGGCGGACAGATACTCGGGGAATTGGCCAAACAGAGCGGAAGTTTGAACCTTTGGAGCCATTTTTGGAGCCTACTCTGGATAGGGGTGCAACAAAAGAACTCTGTGAGCAGCCCTTCTTTGTTTCAAGCTGTTCTTGTCCGGAGTTCTTCCTTCAATAACAGTCCTGTTGTCCATTATACCTGCAGAGGGGATTCGTCGGTTCTTGTCGATTTGCACCGTGTTTTTTCTCGATTTGGAGGCGTTTTCGGCATTTTCTGTATCATGCCTATCAGTATCATGTCTACTGATTTTGAACAACTATTTAAGATATTATAGTTGAAAAAGACACATTCAGTCAAAATCCACTTTACAGTCTCCAACAAACTTGGAACAGTGCCAGGTTGAAAAAAGGGCCATGGCAACCATTGATCACGAAAGCTAGCATGCTAGCTGAGTTCTTCTTTGCTTTAGCAATGTTGTGGTGGGAGGGGCTGCGTGCCTTAAAGATTGATATATCAAGCTAACCCCCCCCCCCCCGCGGTTCAACGGTTCAACTCCCAGCTGCGCCGTGTAGGGGGTTGGTTGAACGTGTGAACGTGGTTGGTTGGGTGTAACGGTGGCTTGGTGTAAAGGGTGCTGCTGCTGCCGCGCTGCTGCCGCTCTGCTGCTTGCTGCTGCTGTTTGCTGCTGCCGCTGGTTGCCGCTTTTGTAGCTGCTGCTTTGCTACTTGTTGCGGCTTGGTGCTGCTGCTGCTGTTGCTGACGACGCCGCTGCTACTGCTGCTTGCTGCTTGCTGCTGCTGCTTGCTGCTTGCTGCCGGTGGTGCTGCTGCTGCTGCGGCTTGATGCTGCGCTGCTGCTGCGTGGTGCTGCTGGCTGGCTGCTGGTTGGTGGTTGCTGCTGGCTGCTGGCTGCAGGCGGCTGCTGCTGCTGCTGCTGGCTGCTGCTTGCTGCATAGGACTTGTACTTCACCGTTACAAGTTGTTTACCCCTATTTCTAACCTAATGCATGCATAAGCGGGTGGTAAATTTACCCCCCAGGCTTGCTATAACCATACACCGGCTATTTCCTCAAGACGCTCTATTCTTGATACCTTTTACCAGTGCTTATCCTACACTACGGACGCCCTAGTGTATGCACAGTCCTTGTGATGCTTACCCCTCGTTCCGGCTCAAGGCATACATAAGCGGGGGGTAAATTTACCCCCCAGATTTGCCATAACCATAAGCCGGCTATTTCCTCAAGACACTCTACTCCTTCTACCTTTTACCCGTGCTTATCCTACACTACGGACGCCCTAGTGTATGCACAGTCCTTGTGATGCCAGAAATGCTTACCCCTCTTTCCAGCGCAAGGCATACATAAGCGGGGGGTAAATTTACCCCCCAGATTTGCAATAACCATACACCGGCTATTTCCTCAAGACACTCTATTCCATATACCTTTTACCCGTGCTTCCCCTACACTACGGACGCCCTAGTGTATGTACAGTCCGTATGATGTCAGAAATGCTTACCCCTCTTTCCGACGCAAGGCATACAAAAGCGGAGGGTAAATTTACCCCCCAGATTTGCCGATCACGCATCTTCGTGCCTGCCAACGAGTGCACCCGGGTTGTTCCAATGTACCCTTCCCAGTCAGCGATGTCACATTTACATTCTTTAGCGCAAAGTATGTACATAGCAACCTTCCTCCCAAAACATGTCATCCCTACATGCTTTGCCGACTATGTAACTAGTACATCCGGTGCGATTCGGCTAGCTTTCGACCTCTCCCCCTGGCCTCAAGTTGTTGGGCCATCGCCTGCAAAACATTGTTCTGTGCGTCATGTGTCGAGGTGACCTGAACTATCGCCTTGACTTGGGCCGAGAGGAATGCCTGGAGATGATTTATGACCATTCCTGGGGGAAACTGCAGCAGCATGATCAGTTGCTAAAGGCTGGTTTGGATGGACACATGAGAAGAAACGTTTTGGGCAAAATTGAGTTCCAACAAATTTGCGTGGAATGGATGAAAGCCATTTGCATGACTGGCATGACCAGGCGATTTTTGAGTTGAAACCTCTCCAGTGTGAGCTGAAGGTGTGCCCCAACCACTGAACAGTTTCGCTTGAATCTTTCATGTTTGAAGAAGTGCATATGGGCTTCTTCAAGGTGATGCTTTCTACCAGGGAAACTCCCAAAGCTGGAATGACTCCCTGACCTCAGATGCCAGTCATGAAGCAACTACTTTGATCAATCCTCACATGAGGAGTGCCACAGCTTCCACAAGCCCAACATAGCTCAACTATATATTATGCATATATATTTAGATATAACAGTTGCTCACCAGTCCAAGAAGCACGGAGCATTTCTCTCTTCGAACCTCCCGAAACAGTGGCCCGGCCCGCAGGTGCAAGCGGAAGGGAAGGCCTTCTGCAACTTCCGCGAAGGCAGGATTCTGATTCTGTGGTCCAGCATCTACCAGCATTGTCGTGTCCGGAAGATTTTAAGGGTGTCTCGGATTATGAGCAACCAAAAGGGTTCCCTTAACTTCTTGTTGTTAACTTGTGCTGGCTACCAGTTGCGTTCGTGGACTCAGCTTCACCTGTCACCACCCACCGTCCGGCTTCACCAGGCCCATTGGACTTTGCACCCACCTATCAGCACGTTCCAGGCCGTTCAGGACGGGGAAGGAGAACCGATTGGCGCCAGGAGGGCCCTGTTTTGCCGCAAGATACGGAGATGCTGCCAGCTGCCCTTGGAAGGCTAGCGTCCTGTACAATAGGGTGCCCAAAAATACACCCAGCAAAAGAAGGTTTGATGCGAAAACGATGCTACTTTGGGCTCATGGCCAGTTGACCTTTTGGATGAGTGGGAAGACGGAGATCATGGAAATGGACAGCATACTAGTTTTACAGTAATTGGTTTTCAGTATCAAGCTTCCAGAGGTTCCAGGAGGTTTCAAGTGATAACCTGCAGGTGGCCCTGGGATTCAGAGGAGACGCCCCATCAACGGAGAAGGGAAACTCCGAGCAATGAGCAAGCAAGCATATTCAAACTCACAGTTTCTCAGGTACTCCCAGGCAGTGTCTCGCGAAGTTCGAGCATGCCCTGATCAGAAATGTTTTTCAAAGACGACGCACAACTAGAGAAGAAGCGGAACATTTTCCGGAAACCACTAAATATATCTAAATATATGATGTAATGGTAGCTATAATGGTTAAAAAAAAGAGGCCGTATATAATTGACGAATGATGGGACATGCCATGTACAACTCCTCAACAGCTAAGTGCTCTTCCACCCATCCGCACCGGCCTCCGCACGAGGTGCGCCGCCGGATCCCGCGACGCGCCTGCGGCCGTACGATCCGCGGAAGGGCCGCGTGCCCAGTTGGACGGACCGAGTCCTGTGGCGCTCCTTCCCAGACGCCGCGCCTGGGGCGTTGATGGATTCAGGTGTCCAAAGCAGGGACATGTCGGGCCATAAGAGATAAGATGTCTACACACACATCCAACATCATCCAACTTATGTGTTATAAATATGTGTAATATTACATTCCAAGTGATGTAGTGTCAGGTGGCAGGCTGTGAGAAGCCACTGGAACTTACCACGCACCACTGAGATCAGCAAACTTCTCTACACATCACCGGACAGACCACCAAGCATCACAAAGCATCTGGAGATGCGTTAAAGCTGGTTAAGACCAAACATGTCCCAAACTAAGTTTTGGCGGCATCCAATGTTGTTTGGAGGTCAACCTATAATAAATGTATAGATTGTTGATTACGTAAACTGTACTCATTTTGGATTGTACAATCACCATGTGTGTGTGGTGGGGACTTTCATTCCGCACCACCGGCCGTGCCGCAGCTTCCAACCGTTCCGCCGGTGTCCGGCCGCGTCTGAGGAATTGATGTTGGAGGCGGGAAGCTATCGCAGCTCCCCAACCCTTTGCACCTCCGACCACTCGCCGGTGGGCGCCATTTTTCGGATGCCCGTGATGAGGCGAGGAAGCGTGATGGAAACATGGAAGTGGGCACCTGTTGCTCACCGGTTGCTGAACAGAGTAATCATGGACATGTTCTTCCCAGAGTTTTCCAGTTCCATGCTAACCCGCAGAACAATTTGGACCGGGCGCGCAGAGAGAGAGAGAGGGATAGATAGTTGCTAACTTTATATTAACTATATATATATAACTATATGTATACTATATATATGCATTACTTATTTATACGTAAGTTACCAAGCATGTCCTTGCCAAGCCCACCCAAACCATGTCAGGTTTCTGATTCAACGTCCGGTTGGTTAACTCGACCGAGCCCAGAGGCCCTACCACTTGGATGACTCGGAGAGTCGGATCTTAATCCGTTTGAGCAAGTTGACGGCGACGGGGTTGGACGCCTGGCCGCAGTTGGAAGGCGACAAAAAGGATACTGTAAACGTAGACTCTTGATTAACGACAGGAGCTTTTAATCCAAATAGGGGAGGTTTACGAATCAAGAGTCTACGAGTCTACATTCTACATTAGCTTACACCGCCGCGATGCTGCTTGATCCGACGTGAGATGATCTCACCTTGCAGAGAACATGCAATGGGACCTCCAGCTCCAGCATTACCAGGGTTCCATGGGACGCTCATGTCCTACAGGCTGGGTGTTTTTAGGTGCACTTGATATCATACGTTCATATGTCCAAATTAGGCCGATTAAGACATATATATATATATACATATACACATATAATACATATATGTTTGTGGATGGGATAATCCAGTTTCTCCACCTGTGTGGGCTTCGTGTAGCCGAGCGTCCCAGGAAGCGGGCGACCATCATATCTCCTTCCGGGCGCAATTCTGTGACGAGGACCGGCACACCTCCAATGCCACCAGCAAAGGAGGAACCTTGCCTCCGGATCCAAAGATTTTAACGGGTGTGTGATGGTGTGTGTACATGTGTAATTGTGTATGAACTACTATAATATACTAACATATTACAGTGATCAATCACTATTGCGAACAACCCTTTGGGCCCTTCGAGGTGGAAATCCTTGGGAAATAATCAGGACTTTTGTTGAAGGAGAACACCCCACATGGAGAGGTTATTTATCCATTGTGGTAGGGATTTTTTATTGATCAATAATCATATGTCATCATCATTAATCAATGCATCCCAGCGGCTCAGCTAAGGCAGGGCCAACTTTCGGTCTGTGGTCATGGCCACCAAGAAAGGCGTGGGGACAGACATGATTGTTTGCTTCACGAGCTGGGAGAAAGATCACGACGGGCATGTTGTTTCACGTTTTCATCTTGTTGTCAAGACCCAAGCGGAATCCGACCGATGAGTTTCCGAATCCGGCTCTAAGCTTGTCATGACGACTGGGACGAACTCTTGGTGGTGAGATCTGAGAGCCATGCGAGAGCCATGCGAAGTACAGGTGGACTCATGTGGACTGACAAACTGAAAACCTGTCAATTGTGAGTCCCAGTCCTTTTTTTGGGTCTAGCGGCTACTTTTGAGCTTTCAGCAGCTGCTGATTCAATCTCGTCCATTCCCCCCTTCATGTGCAAGGATTGCATCGTTGGACATGCGAAACATGTTGGCACCTTGTGATGTTGCCCTTCGGCATGGTTCAATTAATGACTTTGTGCCACATAAAAAGCTGATTTCAATTGATTTCACATTTTGCACTGCAGCTGAGTCACTCCCCCTATCGACTAGGAACAGACACTCCTGTGTTCCACGAGTGGTTGGCCCTTCCTCCACAGAGTGGTCATTAAAACCCTTTGGGCCCCTGGCTTGGCGGTGTCAGGCGTCTCGAAAGTCAAATGGGTACAATCACGGCACATCCTCATCGCCATCTACAAAGTAGATGATGCACTGGAAAGTGCCCATATGCCGCTGGAAAACCGGAAGTGGGAATGGGCAGAAACTAGTTTGTTTGGGCGCCGGCTGAAGTGGGCGAATTCCTAGATCGAGATAGAGGCTAGCTGCCAGTCTGCTACCAGTGGTGGTTCCCTTGAAACTATCCTCCAGCAAAGGCTGTGGTTGGGTCGTCGCTTCACCCTTCGGAAGGCAAGGGTTGGCATTTGAAGAGATGAAATGGTGAGACCTTGGATGTGCCCCCCTCACACAACAGTTCGCTAACCGGTTTGTCACTTTAAATCATTCCTTATAAAGTTAAATGCCTTGGAAACCAGTCGCCAGCGACATAGCCTTGGCCGTGGATCCTCCCTTTGCTGAGGAAATCTCATCCCATCTCGACCGTCATGGCTTTGGCGGGCTTGGCTGATGATTTTGAGGACGCGAGGGTGTCCAAAAACTGACGGACCATGACGGACCAATGATTCGAAGGAATTGCAACCCTTTCAGAGCGAAACTTGTCGTCCTACGAACCATATTGTTAATGAATGCTTCGCCAAGTCTTGAGCGCAAGCGATCCTAGTTCTATCTACCCTTCTCCCACCCTCCGGTTCAACCACAGTGCTGAGACAGTTGGACCCTGCAGTCGGCCATCCCGTTCACATTCTCCAGGTAAACAACAGTGGAGTGCGCAGTGCTCAGGCTATAAGAAGATCGTGTGACACCTGTTGACACCACAATCATTGTACAGAACGTTGTTGTGGTCGTTTTTCACCTACCCAGTCAGTGGATAACATTGTTTGGTGGTTTTGTCCTCTAAAATCAGGTGGAACAATGCTATATATATATATATAGATTAATGTATTCTTTTCCAGAACCACGGCCGGGCATGGCTGGGCACGTCCAGGCCCTCCAGGCTCGAAGAATCATGTGGGTTGGATGTTTGTCCAGCTCAGGAGCCGGATGGCTATGGTGTGATCAGCTTATTGGGTGCAGACCAGAGACCTGGATCAAGCTTATTGCGCCTCCCAAGCTAAGCCAGCGTGAAAAATCGTGGAGCGGCCAAGTATACCCGAGGGACCTTTCTTTTCGCACCACCCACCACCACCCTAAAAACAGCGCCTTTCTTCGATCAAAACAGATTTCATGTTTGGGTTCAAGGTTGCCAGTCGTGTCCGCTTTTTCTCTCCAAACCCTTGGAGCCAGCTTCAACGATTGGAGCCCCAACACCACATGCCAACCTTTGGGAGAAGTAAAGGAAGCCATGAGAACGACCGCGTGAAACACTTGAGGCATCCCCAAAAAGTCAGGTTCCAAGCAACGAGCAAAAGATTTCAAAAGAGAACACATCCAGTCTCCACCGGGGCTTTAGTGACCACCAATATTCTTCTCCAAACCAACAAATGGGAACCCTGACCAACACAAAGGACACGACGTTTCCGTCGAGCGAGGTGATTTTCACTCCAGCGGACAGGCGACAAATCAATCGGAACTGTGCCCGACTGATTGATTTGTCCAAAAAGGAAAGTGGATCACCACCCCTAATTTGTAAGTTGTGCTGATTCATACTCTTTGATTGAACGTGGACGTGCTGCAAAAACTTTTGACACATACGCCACAAGCTGTCCCCGGCCCTGAACAAATACCAAGAGTTGATGTCCTTGAAAGTTCATAGCTTTACTGATTTACTTGATCAAAAGCCTGAACTGCGCGACAAGTTGACGAACTAAACCCTGTAGACACCCCACGTCAAAGCATTTATTGTGAACATCCTGCCAAATCATCACATAGCACGATCCAGCTGCAGCGCCCCTCACTGACTAGCCGGGTAGCGCTGGAAAAACATACAATTGAACAGTACGTATATACTCTTTTTTTTTGGGGGGGGGAATAAACCTATAGACTATCCGATAGGTACCCAGTAGAGTAGAGTCCTATAGGTCACTTACCCAGGTTATTTACACCTGCGATCAAAATTTGGAATTGAACCCACCAGTGCACAGGAGGGTAGCCTGGTTTTACTCTAAGACAATCACAAGCTCGGATGATTAAACAAACAACTCACGCTTTCTCCTTTTGATTGAAGCAGGAGACGACGTTTCTTTTTTTTCCGCAGCTTCGATGTTTCACATAGTTTCTCCTCTACCAAATGTGTCTTTTCCTCGTCGCCTCGGCTGTAGGAAGCCGAAGAAGTTTATGGCCCCCTTGAGCAACGCGCTCGGTGTCACCGTGGGGAGCCTCCATGGTGAAGTACAGGCGGAGTGCGCGGTGTCAGCGCGTGCGGTAGTGCCCATAGGGGCCTAGAGTAGGGCCTAGGGCCTAGACGCCATGTGCGGAAAGAGTTTCCGTTTTCATGAAGTTTACCAGTTTACTGGGGTTTACTTCTCATCATTTGGAAGATTTAAGGATCTATTGTTGGTTCATTCGAAGAGGGGAGCAAGATGCTGGTAGGTGGTAGGTATTTCCGGACCACCATGTTTTCAATCGACACTTAAGCTCAAATCACTCCAAAGAGACCACACACGCATACAGGGTACAATTATCCAGACAGAATTCAATTTGGATGCTAGCAGTGGACTTAGCAGTGGTTTTGGGTGCTGAAACGGTCATATGGTTGCAGACGGTGTGTGAGCACCTTTGACTGGGCTGCGGGGCATGTTTGCGATGATCAGCATCAGGTCAGCAAGCCTCCCGAGGAGGACTTTGATCGGATCCTGAACTATAAATCCGAGCTCAGCATTGTCACCAACTCCCAGGCAAGCCGAATCTGACTGAGACAGGCCGACCACCTCACTTCTTAAATTCCATGCAGACACTCCATGTAATGTTGGATCTTAAATAGTAAAACACACCCCCTAGCAAAGAATTGAGGGAGCCCGAATAGAAGCACGAAAACAATTATATTAGTTAGTAGAAATGGTGGTAGTATAGTAGTCGTGGTCGTCGTTGTCGTCGTAGTAGTAGCAGTAGTCGTAGCAGGAGGAGTAGTAGTAGTAGTCGTCGTCGTAGTCGTAGAAGTAGAAGCAGTAGCAGTAGCAGCAGTAGTATGTATAGGTAGTAGAGTAGTAGTAGTAGTAGTAGTAGCAGTAGCAGTAGCAGTAGCAGTAGCAGTAGTAGTAGTAGTCGTAGTAGTCGTAGTAGTCGTAGTAGTCGTCGTCGTCGTAGTCGTAGTCGTAGTGGCAGCAGCAGCAGCAGCAGTAGCAGCAGTAGTAGCAGTAGTAGCCGTCGTCGTCGTCGTTTTGGTCATCGTCGGTAGCAGTGAGCAGCATTAGTAAAAGGTTTTCAGGTCAGAGTTCCATCAATCAAGCAAACCTCAGAAGAGTTAAGCAAGGATCTTAAAGGTCAGCAATAGCAGAGCAAAATAGAAGTAACGTTTATTCCCAGGGCTCCAAGTTTACCTATTAACCACACCCCCTAAACCATTCGTATTATTCACTTACTTGTACCCCGGCCTTGGGTACTACCCCCTTGACAACGTTGTTTGGGGCAATGAAATCGATTGGCTTTAAAAACAATTTCAGGTCAGAGTTCCGTGAATCAAGCAAACCTTAGAAGAGGTAAACAAAGACCTTAAAAGGCGGGAATAGCAGAGCAGTATAAAGTAATTGTATTTTTTTCTAGGGCTCCAAGTTTACTTACTAATCCCGCACCGTATTATTCACTTGCCGGGGCTTGTGTACTACCCAGATGAAAATTGTTTTGGGCAATGGCATCGATGAGTTTTAATAAGGGGTTTAAAAAAGGTTTTCAGGAGTAGTAGTAGTAGTAGCAGCAACAGCAGTCGTAGGTAGTCGTTCTAGTTAAGCAAGGATTGTAAAAAGGGTAACAATAGCAGAAGAATAGACAAATCAAGAAATCAAAATAAAGGGAACACCCTGGCCCTGGGGTGAAAAAAACTATGTATTCCCTCCCATTAAACTATTCAGGGTGTGGGATAATTTAGAGAAAAAACACTTTGCCATTTAGTCCCATTATATTAATTTGGATCTATATAGCATTATGCATTTTTTCGCGTATACGTTGGGATGCTTTCGGGGTTCATGGGATATATTCCAGTCCGATGGAGTGATGGTGAAATCGGAACACGAGAACACCAAAACAACGCACCGGCCCTCGACCGCGCGACCGTTCGCCGAGGTCTCCAAGACCAACCTCCCCAGCGATGAGCTGACCGAGCCGGAAGATGATGGCCCGGTGGAAGGCTTTGGCTGCTGCCTGAAGGTCAGCAGCATGCATTTATTTTGACCGAGCCAGCGAGACCAGAAATTAGATTAGATCGATCAGATCACACGATGGGTGTGATTGACATTTGGAGAGTATCCCTGAGGCATTGTTTTGGGCGTGTCGCAGCCTGAAAATGTCAGACCAACAAAGACCACTTATATATTATATATATATATTCAGGATGGATTGGAGATCATTGGAGATGATCAGTCGTTTTTGCTTCACTACGGAAGGATGTGAATGATCGGAATTCCTCCCTGCCAAGGAGCAACACTCCTTCCCAGCAGAAGTCTAGCCTAGCCAAAAAGTGACGATTGTTGCAGAAATGCTCCAGGTTTTTTGGGTGCACTGGTTCTGGTTGAACACTGCTCAATTCATTCCAGCGAACCACGAGGACAAACAAGTAACCGATTAGGGAGACGCAGCTAGGACCATCCACAGTCATGACCCAAAGCGAGGCGTGAAAAACACGGTTCACCCGGTTCACCCGAGCGTCCTGCAGCACGGCCCGACCGAGCCGAATGTTGGCCAGACCGCAGACTGGGTCCTCAAACGTCGCATCCATCGTGGAAGACCGCAGACCCCGTGGGTCGCCGGCGCACGGCGATGCCGTGGATCGCACGAATCCGGTTTCGAGGAACAGGCACCGAGTGAAAAGCACGTTTCGATTTGAACCGCTGCACGGTGAAGTTTGGCAGCACTTGGTGAGCCGTCTTCCAGCTTCCTCCACCACAGACTACCAGAGGTGCGGAACATGGTGTTCTAATGTGTTCTATTTGTCAAGCAGGTAGCGGAAGAACAGACGGTAGAGGACTGGAGGAGTAGGTTTGATCGCTCTTGGTGCCAAACCCATCCACACACTCAAAAAGGTATTTGATCTCAGCTTGAAGCCCTATGATTTCGGCGGGTGTTTAGCAACATCTTGTGGATGCAGCTTCTTTTCTTGTGCACGTCTCTGCCAAAACGTTGCACCAGATGCACAGTTTCCCGGTTTCCCCGGCTACGGGCCCATCACCCAGATGATGTCGATGCCTGGTTGATTGAAAAGACGGACCTCCGCAAAGATGAATTTATTACTGTAGCCTCATTGCTTCCATGGCCAACCTTAAGAACAAGCCAAATAATTGCTTGGAGAGATTCCATTCGCTCATGGATGCACTTGATTTGTTTGCGTGTTGGGTCGCCCAGTCGAACCTATGCTTCTACTGAGCTGTAGCCGGGAAATACAAGGCCTGTTGTC